ATAATCTAAGTAATTGATGATTTCATTAAATCTTAATTCTTCCATACTCATCGGTTTCTGCGTTGTGGGCAACCAGTCATCTCTAATTCTTGTCAATAACAATTTTCTAGTTGTACCTGGAACTCCTCTACGGTCCTTTCCACACCATCCCCTAGTTAGCTTTGCTAATTTTTTGAATTGTTGTAAGACTTCTGGAGAGATAGCTAGGGAGGTCGTTGTGTTGGCATCGTCGATAGTTTCCATCGACAAATTACCAAATAATCCCCTAAACTCGTGGTCAGGATCTAAGTTCCTAATGGATCCTATAGAAAGTAACGGTAATGATTGTTTCAACCTGTTCATGGTAAACTGTTTAAAATTTGAATCATAACTTGATGCTGGTTCCAAGATTTCATCATATTCAACTTCAAAGTCATATTCATCTTCATTGACATCCGCAGTAATTGCAGTAGAGCCTTTTGATTTTCTGGCCTTTTCTTCGTCTTTCCTTTTTGCTTCTATCAATATTTGATCCAATTCCTCATCACTATCTACAGGCTTCTTAGCAGGCTTCTTGTTCTTCTTCTTCTTTCGACTCGATTTCGAATTCTTGGGAGGCAAAGAAACCTCCGGTTCTTTTTCTTCCTTTGCATCGTTCTTTTCTATATTTTGTTCTGCTTCCTCGTTTTCACTTTCATCATCGCCATTCAATAAGGCAAATGCATTGAAAGACGTTTTTGGTCTGGACTCATATTCACTTTCCTCGCTCTCTGAAACTTCTTGCGAGTCGCTAGCAAGGTTCGATAAGCTTTCGTTTCGTTGCTTCTCTAATCTTTTCAATGCCCTTGAACTCATATTTAGTAAAACTTAGTTTAAAGCTATGAAATATTAGAAATACTTTTATATTTAGGTATGTTTTTCATACGTACTGCATCTAATAGTTGAAGCAGTTGCTTATTTTTGTGGATGCAAATTATTTTATTATCACATACAGATGTCGTTATTATTGATGATTCTATATTAACCAGTCAAGAGTAGAGGAAAATGTATGGCACACATTCAAGCAGAAGCAGTTCTTCTGTTGAAATACTTAACCCTTTGGTTGAAGCTCCAACAAAATTTAATATAATACCAAATAGTTCTCACCCGCATTTTCCTAGAACTAGATCAGAACCAATATCTAATATGGAAAAACTAGCTACGACCGAACTGATAAAAGATTTTAAGGCAGAACAGTTGGGGTTATCCAGTATATCTAAAATTTCCCTGGAAGGTGACTGTAATTTTTCGCAACTTTCAGAATTTTATGGAAAAAATACAATAAATATAGTGAATGATCAGTTGACGAAAGAAACTAAAAATGAAGCTTCAAATCTCCGTAATAATACAACAATACCCAATTCAAAATGGTCATTTACATATCCGAGGGATGTTTTTTGGATAATAGAAGAAAAAGACCAAATATTTGAAATGAATTGTGTGAATGAGAATCGTGCTGCAACGGAAGAAATATCGCATACAGATGGGAGAAATTCAGTAACAGGATATCTGAAGGACTTCGATTACACCAAAGATGAACCGGTATTATCGCCCCAAGAAAGTACGTACGCATTAACCACGTCAGATTATATTTCCCCCATACCTGCAACATCATTTTCTCCTCAAGACAAATCAAACACTACCCAGAAATATAAATTGCAAAAAGTATTGGAAGAATTGCTTGATAGCGAGGAAAATTACGTTGTATCATTAACTTTGCTACTCAATTACTACTTAGAACCGCTAGTTAGCAACAATATTTATAGGTGTGGATTACCATTGATTATCATTAAGAATCTTTTATTAATACTAATAGAAAGCCACACCAATATGTTGCAACAATTGAGATCGTTGTACCAAAATCCTCGAAATCAGGACTGTGAGCGATCAATAGTATACATTGCTACGGAAGTTGCAAAGAATATATTTGACATTGGAATTAATGTTCCTATTTATGAAGAATATTGCAATGTTTATGAAAGTGTGTTGAAAATAATAAAGGATTCTGGCCATATAAATTCTAAATACAAGAAAGATTCTAACCAAGCATGGGTCAAAGGCTGGAAAAACTACTTAGAGGCAACACAACCGATCTCTAAGAGAATGGATTTGTCCTTTTTATCATTAGTGCAAAAACCCATTTCTAGAGTTGCCAAGTATAGGCTAATTATTGAATCTTTATTGAAATATAGCGGCACAAACAGCTCCATTTATACGTATTGCAATCTTGTTAAATCCAAGCTAAATGAATTAAACGATAATTCAAGAGGATATATAATGAACGATAATAGCGCTAAGATTAATAATTTTTTGAACTTTGCTGGTACCTCCTTTGGAATTGACTTATCACTGGAGTTCTTCGGAAAATGCTTGATGATAGGATCATTAACAATAGTTTGGGTCGAGAATGATAATGAGAAGTCAGGTACAATGGGAGTCTTCTTATATAAAAGTCATCTTATCATGAGCGATATTTCAATTAGAAGGAACACGAAAAATGAGATTAAATTCATCATACCTTTATCAATTTGCAACCTTTTCAGTGATCCCAAAGAGTGCGATGGAGGACTTTATTCAAAATACCCACATACAATGAAAATAATATTTGAGTATCAGTTCTGTCAATACGAAATTTTGATAATTTCCATAAATAAGACAGAGCAGGACGTATGGAGTGATTATCTCGATATATTAATCAATCATGTCAATGGGCCTTTCAAATTAGGTTATACATCCACCGATAGCTCCAATTTAATAATATTGTACCCAGAAAACATAATTCCGTACGATGTTTCCCTTTTGAAAGTATCAACCTATCGTAAATTCAAAGACTATTGCTACTTTAAAAATCCTATATCCTTAAACATCATGATTGAATTTCCTATTTACCAAGAAACGATGCAAAATAGGTATGTTTTAATCGAAGAGGGAAATCAACCAATGATTTATCCACAAGCATATTCCCATACAATTTTAATAATTATTACTAAAATGGAACGAGCTAGCGCAGAGATGAGTCTTGCATCAATGTGGAGTAAAGAGTTACCTCTAATATTTCCCAATATACAAGAAAACAAGACTAAACCAACCATAAAAAAAAGTTCAAGTTGGTCGCTGTTAAAAATGGGCATGGGATCGTTTCGTGGGTTAAGGACCTCCCATAGCTTCAGCGAAGGTATCAATTCATTAAGATTACACACTCAAGATAACATAGAGCAGAATCACGAAGAATTTTCAAAGTTTGTACACGATTCGAAAAAATTAAAAGATACGGAGACAATCGATGCTGACAAAATTATAACTTCCGACGTCACAGACTCTGAAATAAGACGGACCAATTCGAAATCGTATAAGTTCAAGAATGCTGTTCTAGGATTGTTCCAAATTTCCCGGTCTAGTTCGATAAAAATGACTACAGATTGATTCATGAATACTTCACGTTTATTGTTAAATCAGATTGTATAAACTCGTTAAACATTAATGCGATGACATTGTCAATAAAATCAGGTCAATTACTGATGATTAACGAAGGTGTTACCAATTGAATCATTCTTGGATGCACCCCCTCTACCCAAGTGGGTACCACTCTTATCTGTTCCTTCATTTAAGATTATCTTGATAATTTCATCAACATCAGATTTGCCGAATTGCATAGTCAATTCTTGCTTGGAAGCTTCGTCTAATACACCTTCATTACCACCTTGTCTATTAATAAAAACCTTGTAGATTCCAACTATATCGATCAATGGGATTGTTGTATCTCCCTTCTTATATTTTTCAACTAAATCAGTGTCTTCAATGAAGACAACGAAATCAGCTTCATTATCACCTTTGTAAAATACTCTGTGTGGTCCGGCTCCTGACATTTTGTTTTAATCTATTTTTCTAAACTTATTGTTCTTAATAATAATAAATTCAATAAATTACAGGTAAAATACATAACTATTTATACCATTGAATAATTGACCATAGCAAAGTAAGAATCGACGGCTTCCATGCTATTACTTGCTATTGCTGCAAAGCGTGATTGTATGTTCGTTCATTCTAGCCGTGATTACGTAACAATTTTCCTAGGCTTGAATTTAAGTGATCTCCAAGAATACCGACATTAAATACTATGTAGTTACTATGGTGGCACAGCCAAAGTCATTGGTTTCCATTACGAGACTGCGTTTCAACTATGCGGTTTAATTTTAGGTAATAATCTGAAGCATAGCGACAAACCTAAGATTATGAATAGGCAACGGTTTGTGTGTTTTTGATCTGATGGACTAAACGTAATCCTCGTGCGTATACTATATTAGGAATTACAAGTAAATGTGACTTCATCAAAAAGTCAATTGGTGAATCACTATGACGAGAGTGTACATGATGCAGCAACTCAAGCATGATGACACTTGTTATATTATTATCGCGCGAGGATCTACGCATTTTAATTGGTATTTTTGATCACAAAATTATATGCATTAATATATGGAGGGTTGGCCGAGTGGTCTAAGGCGGCAGACTTAAGATCTGCTGGACAGTTGTCCGCGCGAGTTCGAACCTCGCATCCTTCATTATTTTTGATAATTTTTTAACTTCATATGCAATAGCAGATGGTTTCTTGCATTGCTTGTAGCAACTAGATTTCTGTTGCTTCAGTTGTAGTTAAAAAAATAAATTTTTCCGAAGTTTATTTCGTGCTGTATGGTTTGATGAACTAGCTGTATAATATTTTTTGTAAGGGAACTGGGTCTAAATTAGGTAATTCTTACTACTAACACTTGATATACTATGTAGATTCTACTAATCTAACTTTAACTTGACTTATAGATTGACAACTAACTAATTACTCTCTATTTAGGTCCTAATTCCCTTAACCTCTATTCTGAGATTTACCGGGATTCTTCCACATATTTATAGTTTTGCAATCGTGGCTGTAATTGCAAGACGTATACCTTGCAACGCGTACTGTACGTATAACACATATATATATGGGCATGTTCTCTTACATTTTTATAATTATCCGATATAGTGTAACGGCTAGCACGGTTCGCTTTCACCGAGCAAACCCGGGTTCGACTCCCGGTATCGGAAATGTTTTTTTTTACATTTGTATTTAGCTGTTTTGCAATCAGTTGAGCGATTACCAAGATTAAACAAAGTAATGCAAATAAATCAGAATATATTTTACGTATAAAACTATAAACTATATTTATTTCTTAGTACCGTATCTTGATACTGTCTTACCGTCAGGGATATTGTATAAAACAGGACGCTTACCTTCACTATAAGGTTGGTCCACTCTGTAGTAACCCTTTCTTTCAAATTGAATGATATCGCCGGCCTTCATGTTACGGACACTTAAATCAGCAAAAGCTTCAACCGTGAATTCAGTTTGTGGAGTAAGGAAATCTTCAAAGTTATCGCCTTCTTCTAATTTGTCCTTAGTAATCAAATGATCAAAGTCCATTAACTCAACCTCAATTTTATCCTTGGTATCAGCCAACCAAGTGATTTTCTTGGAAGTTTTACGGAAATCACCTTCCACGTGTAAGTTAGCTTCAATTGCTTTGACAATATCACCTTCCTTAACAACCTTGGAAACAATAACATTACCCCAGTCCATAAAAGTGATTTCTTCACCGTCTACCAAGCCTTCAGCGTCAGCTTGGTCGATTAAAACTTGATTAGAGTAAATAACAGGCTTGTTACCGACTTCTGGGTTCTTTTTATGCTTTGGCTTTTCTTCAGTGAATGGCTCAGATGGTCCATTTAACAACTTGACAGGAACAGCGTTTTTCGCATCGACAGCAGTATGCCTTGGTGCAGCTGGGTCAATAATTTTCTTGTTCAAGGCCCAAATAACAGACCAATCTAAGTTAATAATGTTTCTTGAAGGACCTTGAGCGATAATAAAGTTTCTGATACCTTCAACGGTCATACCTCTTCTTCTAACACCTCTAACAGTTGGGAATCTTGGATCATCCCAATTGGAAACGTAGTTCTTATCAACAAACCATTGCAATTTTCTCTTAGACAATAAGGTTCTGACGAAATTGACTCTGGCGAAATCCCAAATATCAACCTTACGTAAACCTAACGCATCAATGATCCAATTGTATTGTGCATTACGGTCTCTGTATTCGTTTGTTCTTAAAGCATGGGTGACACCTTCAATCGAGTCAACTACTGGAGCACAGAAATCATAAGTTGGGTAAATCTTCCATTCGCTTCCAGTTCTGTGATGTGGTGTAACATTACATCTGTAGATGACTGGGTCTCTTAAGGTTTTGTTTAAAGCAGTGTAATCAATCTTAGCTCTAAGACAATTCTTTAAACCTCCTTCGGTACCATTTTTCATTTCTTCTGTGAAAATCTTCAAGTTTTCTTCGACAGATCTTTCTCTTCTAGCAGAAGCATCACCTACCATTCTTTCTTCTCTCATCTTTTCTAACGGAGTGTCATCACAGTAAGCTTTACCATCCTTGATTAATTTAATTGCTAAATCGTACATATCTTGGAAATAGTCTGAAGAATAAGTGATTTTATCACCTTTAATACCTAACAAGGCCAAATCTTCAATAATCGAGTCTTGGAATTCAATCTTTTCCTTAGTTGGATTAGTGTCGTCGAATCTGATAATCAATTTACCCTTGTAAGCGTGAGCAAAGTATTCATTCAAGACTGCAGCCTTAGCATGTCCAATATGCAAATATCCAGATGGTTCAGGTGGGAAACGAGTAACAACCTTTCCAACTTCAGCATTTGGTAAATCGATTTCAAAATTAGCCTTGTGGGTCTCTTTCTTACCCCCGTTCTTGGACGACTTAGCTGACTTTCTTAATTCATTGACTAATTTGGTCATGTTTTCAACGCTACCGTCAAACTTTTTATCAGCAGCTAATAAGTTGTACCATCTCGAGACATTTGTGTAAACGCCATTTTTGATAACAGAACCCATTAAAGCATTGGCTCTCAATACACCCCAAATAGCAACATCAGCTAAGGAATACGAATATCCAATAACGAATGACCTGAAGTTTAAGTGGGCATCTAGTTTTTCTAAATCACCCGCTAATTCCTTGAAGTTCTTATTAGATAACTTGTCCAAAGCAAATTTGATCCATTCTTGAGATTTGGCTTGATCACTAAGAATAGATGGAAACTTTTCAGATAAGTAGTTTAATATATCTAACTGGTTAGAATAGGTTTTGCCTTCTGGAGTAACCAATTTAGCACTAGCGTCTGTGGAATCAACTGTCTTCTCATCGACAAATTCGATTGGGATTGAGATATCAGAATCACTGGCATCGATAAATCCGACACCAATTAAAGATGGGTATGCGACTAAAGGAGCCTTGGCAGCTACTGTTAAACTAAAACTCATGTTTAATTTTGTTCAATGTTGGTATGATTTAGTTAAGTCTTTCAAGAGAGTCAAATAATTTCGGCCATTTTATTGAAAAATTGAGAACGTGAAAAAAGTCACGTTCTTACAGGATCCTTAGGATTTTAAATATTCCTTTAAGCTGTAGAGTTGGTCCTACTTAATTTCACAGCAACGTTCAAACAAGTCCTTGTTAGGATAAATAATAGCATATCTACATATAATGAGCTCCAGTACGAATACTTCAAGCTCGAATGGAAATCAAAGGCCTACAGCGAAACGGTCACCATCGATTTTGGTCACAGATGCAAGAAGCACAACGTTAAAAGGTGCTCGGGCACCTTTTGCAGGCCATAATTATAAAAAGCAACAGCAACAGCAACAAAGGCAACAGAGAGTGTTGCCATCGAGATCTAATAAGTATACAGATATTTCCGTGGACAAACTATTGAGTAATTCGAGTGATATTCCATCAGGACAGAGGAGACTTCCACCTATGCTATCCAATAGTGGTAGGAATACTGGGGTCAATTCACTTGGATCTTCGAATCGAGCTATGTCACCACCGCCAGGACAAGTACGGATGCCCAATACAATGTACATGGAACCGGGTTTACTGCGGAAAAACATGAGAAGCATTCCTAAATTGTCACAATCATTACCATCAAGAACATCGAAAACGTCACAGAAGTTAGTGTTAATTCCAGATCAACAGCGTTATAATTCATCACCACCGCCGCCACCACAAGCACAACAACCAGTCTTAACAGCAACCCCGGGTGTCACCCCTGACTTACAAGCACAAATACAAAGATCGAGAGCTGAACTTATGCCGAAGGAAGCAAGGGCCCATGAATTTAGTCGTATGACAGCGTATTTCATTTGTGAACAATTTAATTTAATACCTGTATCGAACTTCTTGAAGGAGAATCATGAGGTGAAGCCTCGTCTATATGATGAAGCACTTTACATACCATATTCTTTGCCGTTGTTGCCGGGTGCAGATGGCTTCAGAGTCAAATCTAACAATTCTGCAAAGCTACTTCCTAATAAAAGATACATGGAAAAATTGATAAATAAAAGTGAACAAACGGACCATTTATATGAATATTATTCAGGGGTGGAAACTATCGAAGATGTCAATAATTATTCGATGGATCCTGAGCTAGAGACATTTGACAGTAACGCTCCATTTGATCCTTCCGAACCCCAATTTTTTGCACCACCTTTGGAATCAGAAGAGAATGAAAGTGATGGCCCTGCCAGTAGTGATAACGAATCAAAATCAAACAGTATAAATCAACGTGGATCAGGACCTCAGGCAAACAAAACCAATAATAATAGAGACTCTAAAACGTCCAATGATGATTCTGATAAAGTGCCTTCCAGCAGTGTTGTGCAAGCTGAATTATCTAAACATCATGCCGAGATGTTTATCTTCAGATACGGCATTGTTGTATTTTGGAATTTTTCTGAAATTCATGAAAAAAACATTCTAGCAGACCTTGCATTTGCATCTGATAAACCCCAGCCACTATTGGTGAATCCAATTCACGAACAGGACATAGAAACTGAAGAATTTCATTTTGAATATGATGATCAAATACATAGACCAAGAATATATAATGATATGATTACGTTAAGATCTGGTGATCATCTTATCAAATTGACAATGTCCCATGCAATAGCGCAACTGACAAAGTTGTGTTTATTTGAGAGTAGGATGGTGAATAATTTACAACTGATTTCGAAGTTGCCCAAGAAATTAGCTTTGACGGGTAGGCTAGGATTGAAGAGGCAACAATTATTGAAAAAGTCAGGTAAACTTTTCAAATTACGAGTTGACGTAAATCTTTCTAGCTCAATTCTAGATACCCCAGACTTCTTTTGGTCTTTCGAACCTGCATTGCATCCATTATACAACGGTGTTCGTGAATATTTAGAAATCGATCAAAGAGTTCAAGTCTTAAACGATAGATGTAAAGTTTTCTTGGAATTTCTGGACATCGTTAGTGACAGTATGAACGAAAAGAACACTAATAGAATAACTTGGATGATTATTGTCATCATATTTATGAGCTTATCTGTTAGTGTCTTTGAATTTATATTGCAAATTGTATAGCATTGATGTATCGCTTGTATACACGCATATTTTTATTTAGGTAGAGAAGTTGTAGTATTAAGTGAATCATTGACGAACCCGACATCTAATCGAATGGAATATGTCACTACCTTCAAAATATGCACCAGAAGGATTGAGCACATCTGATCAAAAGAGAACCATTACGGTTGGTCGCAATCGACCCAAGAAACCAATAAACTATGCCATCAAAACAATCGAAGATAGGATTGATGAGGCAGTAAAACATTCACCATACAATATTGAGGACAAAGATAAACCATATGAAGATGATATTGAAATGGTACCTATGGATGATTATAATGAGGTGGAAATAATATCAGATTTTGTGAAAGCCAGTAGAAATAACAATGATATCTTGTATGATGATTCAATGGATATAGTATCGGAGACTGAGACTAACAATATATTTAATGATCTGGGAAATGTTTCTTATTTGGTTGTTGATACTAATTTTATACTATCTCATTTGAATGTTGTGAATGGTTTACAGGAAGTGGCCGATGATTATAGATTACAAATTATAATACCTATTACTGTGATGAAAGAATTAGATGGCTTGAAAAATTCAAACAGAATAGCCAATGAAGAGTCTTCAGACAAAATCTCTAACCAATCAGTAGGTCATTTAGCCAGATGGGCCAACGACTGGATATACTCGGCATTAGCGAAGAATAGTCCAGTTGTACGGGGACAAAAATTGAGACAGAGACTAGATAAATCTAACACTAAAGATGATGCCATATTAGATTGTTGTTTGTATTTTAAAGAGAAATATCAGACATCTTTGGTGGTGCTACTTTCAAACGATAAGAACTTTTGCTTAAAGGCTCTTTCAAATGATATTTTAACCGTTAGTTATCGTAAACATATGGATGTTGATATTATTGCTAAGACAATATACACTGAAAATGTAAGAAGGTTTGGAAAGCTAGAAATTAACCCAATAGAAATAGCTCAGTCGGATAACCGAATACCGTATGAAACGCATGAGCCGAAAGTCCAATATGAGAGTAATACCTCATTTGATGAAGCCTCACGAAAGATATTCCAAGAGATTCAGACTCTCACTCTCTCTGTAACACATCATTGCATGGAAAACAGTTATGGAGAGGATATAGACCTCATTAGGAACTATGATCGCAATACTGTAACTTCGCTTAAGCATTGTTCCGAAGTTATAATAAGGTTTTGGCTCCCAGTCTTTTCTAATTACTTTAAAGGAAGTCGTATAAAACCATTCGTTGAAGTAGAAGAAGGAAAGAAATTGATAAGGCAACCGATATTAGTAGATATCCCCTTAGAAAAGACGCAACTCAAGGAATTCATAGAATTATGGTCTGATATATTATCTACATTGTATCTGGCAGAAATGAATGAACAGCAAAATAATGCTTTAGAACTTCTCATTAAGAGATGGAAATACAGTGCATCATTAATAACCTAAAATACAGCAAATGGTTTCAAGTGTCCACTAGTGAAGATCAATATCATTCTTTCTTTATTCTAGTCAGTTTCTTACTCGCATCGTCATTTACAGATACATTCTGAGTATTATTTGTTGAACTCTCTAGTTTTCGTTTTCGAGGGCCAATAATTCCAATTTTCCTCACAACAGGCCGCTTCTTAGGAGAAATTTCACTACTTTCTCTCTTGAGAATTGGCGTGGGCTTGTCTTCTGACAGCTCTAATGACTCATCTGTCTCTTGTTTTATATGTATTGATTCACTTGAAGTATCCGCTGCGAAAGCCTTGGAGAAAACCCAAGACCTTTTATCGTTAATAGACTTCTCTATGCTTAGCCATACCTTGTCATACCAATTATCATTAGAATTTTGCTCTTTCTTTACCACATCCATATAAGAATTCTCTGTCGTTCGACTCCACAATTTTCTATCATATTTTTGTAAATATTTGGCATCCGTTTTATTGTTTTTCCTGTACTTTTTGATTAGTTCATCGCCATTGATGGCCTTGTAGTTCTCAGACAAATAAACGATATAGTGATCTTTTATATTAATGAGTCTTTCTAATTGTTCGAACTTATAATTAAGGTAATTATGATTTTCAAACTGTTGAAAATTGATTTGAGATATAAGGTCAATTGCATTAGATGGTGACTGTTTCACTACAGAAAAGTCCCAATCTATCTCTCCACTAAACTTCACATGTATGGTGCTCTCATTATCCGACATTGACCTGTTTATCTTCGTAATCGAGAACAGCAAAGTTTTATCAGCATCTCCACATTCAATTCCATTCCTTAATACCTCAAGTAGATAATGGAGTTTTTCATCTTCTGTATCTTCGATCCCGTAACTATTAGCCTTATCGATAATATCTTGTTTGGATAGTCTTTCTAACCATACATTCTTAAAGTCTGTGATATATATACTATATGCTTTAGTATTGAAGTCACACTGATATCCGTAAATAACTTTGCGAGGGTTAACAAACGGAACAAATACCGAGTTCCAAGATAAGGGAAGATCGAACATTTTAATAATTGTATATTATCAGCTCTCTCTAACGATGGTTATCCAACATAAAATATATTCTGATCAAGTTCCGGAGTTAGTGGAAAGAGTTTTAAAATTATATGAAGACAAAACTGAAAGTAAGAAGAATCGGAGAATAATTATCTCATTGGCCGGTATTCCTGGCTCAGGCAAATCAACACTATCAACAGAGCTTGTGAAACAGCTAAATACAAGGGTTAAAGCAATTGCGGTCCAACAGGATGGGTTTCACTTGTACAGATCAGAATTGAAGAAGTTATCGAATCCAGAAGAGGCATTCATTAGAAGAGGAGCACCTTTCACATTTAATGCTAAAAAGTTTTTGAACTTAGTTTCACATTTAAACGACGAAAAGTATTCCAGGAGTACTATTGAAGTGCCAACTTTCGATCATAAATTAAAAGATCCTGTTGAAAATGATAAACTGATAGATCCAGATACGAATATAATTATTATAGAAGGAAACTACGTTTTATTGAAAGATTTATATTGGAATGACATTAGTAAATATGTTGACGAAACATGGTTTGTTGATGTCCCGTTGAACTTGGTAAAAGAAAGGATTATAAAAAGACACTTGGAAGCAGGGATTGCTGAAAATGAACAAGAAGCAATTGCGAGAGCTGATGGTAATGATTTACTTAACGCTGAGTATATTTTAAAGAATTCTAAATCGGCAGATTTAACTATTATGACGAGGTAGAAAAATGATACGAAGTAATGCTTATATGATTTAAACGTGAAATTTAATTAAATATAGAAATTGTATAGACTTAGATATGTGAAGGACTTTAATGTACAAAAAAAGTAAACAATTATGATGCAACAGAACAATTTAAACAAAAAGATAATAGCGAATAAGAATGAAATAAATGCAATCAGATAAATTAACGAGGTTCAACGTTATAACGCATTTTAATACCCATAGCAGCCAATTCCGAATCCAAATATTTCAAAACAAAAGGAATCGCTACAGTTGTAGTATTTTCACCACCAACGAACTTCTTGCCTTGGCCATCTTGCCAAATCTCTGACTCATTAACATATTCACCTTGTTGACTGTAAGATTCGATTTTAACTGAACATCTTCTACATCTAATAGACGCAGCAGTTCCAATTCTTGGTACCGAAGTTTGAGTATTTAACAATGAGCCACAAGAGCGACAAACAGAAGTTTGAGTATAATCGGAACAATTCAATAATCTATCCTGTAATAAGAATGCAGTACCATGTCCAATTAAAGCATCTCTTTCCATCTCACCGACACGAATACCACCACTTCTTTTACGACCCTTAACAGGTTGCATTGTTAATGAATTCACTGGACCAGTAGATCTGACTTGGAATTTATCGTTAACCATATGTCTTAATCTTTGATAGTAAACACACCCAATGTATATATCAGCTCTTAATTCTTCACCGGTAGCTCCTGAGTACATTGGTTCATTACCGTGATAATTATAACCAGCTTTACTTAACTGTTCACCAAAGAAATCTGCAGGTGTATCATCTTCACTGAATTTCCAAGGAGTAGCATCTTGCGCAATACCATGTAAAGCACCCGCCTTACCAGCTAAGGATTCGACGAACATACCAATTGTCATACGAGATGGGAACGCATGGGGGTTGATAATGACATCTGGTTGAATACCAGTTTCAGAAAATGGCATATCAACTTGAGGCCATTTACGAGAACAAACACCTTTTTGACCATGTCTAGAAGAAAATTTATCACCGATTAATGGCTGTCTAGTTATTCTATACTTGATGGTTATTTGTTGTCCTTCTTGGTCTCCACTATCATCTCCCAATAATTTAACTTCTTCAATATAAGCAGGTTCAGTTGAATGATAAGTCTTGACTTTAGTTCTACCTAATGTATCATCATAGTACGCAACAATTGGATCACCCTCATCAACTTTAACACCGATCAATGGTAATCCATCAGCATCCAATTTTTCTCTCCAGGATTCAGGCCATTCATCAGTACCAAAACCAAAATGTTGAGTAATCGGATCCCCTCTACGTCTAGATTGAGACAAATCGACCTTTTCAACCTTATAAACTGTACCATAGCCAAAGCCTCTTTCATCTGCAGATTTGTTAATGATCATCGCATCATCCATATCATAACCAGTGTAAGAAATTACTGCAACAACAGCGTTCATCCCATTAGGGAAATTATCCATACCATAATCATCATACAAACTAGCCTTAACAATAGGAGTTTGACCAGTCTGTAATCTATACAATTTGTTATCAGATCTATGATTCAAAGCTACACCAGGGGTACCCATGGTTTGCTTACCCATTTGACATTGATACATATTTCTTGGTGATTGATTAAAATCCGAAAATGGAGTCAAATTAGCAAGAATAGATAAAATATTAGTAGGAGAAAATTCAACATGAGTATGAACGTTGTTTTCAATTTCAGCTGGTGTAACTGCAACATCCATGTAAACTTGTTCAAATGGACCTAAAATATCAGTCTTATTTAATGGTAAATATTTGGTTGGTCTCATCATTCTAGAGTGACCACCGAACAAATATAAACCTGGATATTGACCCTTTGTCGATGGTGGAACGTAACCAATTTCTAAGTCCAATGGCAAACCGTGATTTCCTTCAACTTTCCAGTATCTTAACGTATCCGCAACAATTTTACCATGTTCATGAGTAGTCCATCCCAAGACCTTACCATCTAATTGAACACAACACAAATTTGGTCCGGCAGCAAAACTGTGGGCAGGTGATACACCCAATTGTGCCAATGCGACGGGAACTTGAGAAACATCAGAAGCTTCAGTAGCAATTTGACATTTATGCGACAAATGGTTTAACAAACCACAAGGCGAACCATCTGGTGTATGTACGGGACATAAAAATCCCCAAGATTCAGGTAATAATTTTCTAACAGTTGTTGTCTTCAATTCAGCGAAGAAAGAACCTCTATGAACCATTCTGAAATGGGAAATGAATCTATAGAAATTAATCTTTTCAGCAACAACAGTATATCCAGAAACTTGCTGCAAATCTAAACCAGATTGAGAAACTAAGTTACCCGTAGATAAGAAGTATTGCAACTTTTGTCCGATGTTTTCATTGATTCTCATAAAAACTCTTGACATGTATTTTCTGTCATTAAAATTGATTGCTATACCACGATTTATGTCCGATTGAATTTGCAATTTAATATTTTGTAAATATTCATCAATTTTTTCTTTGATAATCATACCATATAAGAAACCACCTAATAAGACTTCTTGATGTTGGGTGGCATCTGGATTATCTGGACAACAATCACCGGCGACCAAAGAATATAATTTTCTAATCATGAATAATAACATTCTAAATTTATCTAAGTTGTTAGGCAAATGGACTAAAACAATTCTTTGCAAGACTTCTTTACCAACTTCGATATCGGACACATCAGGTGCTGAACCAAATACAATTCTGAATTTATCACCTAAATAAGCTAAAGTCTCTTGTTTAGAGTAGAGATTGTATTGCTTATAGGTTCTTAATAATAATTCCAAACGATCGGTCAAGAAAGAATTAGAAGTATCAGCTCCAATAATACCATCGAATATTTCACGGTCATTAGTCTCAATTAACGCCTTCAAGATCATCATTGCTGGAACCAAGTATTCGTTTTTCTTCCAAGAAAATCTGAAGGTGACATTACCATCATTCAAGTAATGCAAAACATTAGTTTGCGAGGTTTGATCTGGTCTAACACATCTTATTTGAATACCAAATTTAGTGTAGGAAGCACCCCTGTTACCAAAAGATGGACGGATAATAGCCATAGGATGATTACGACGTTGAACAATCAACATACGAATCAACTTTTCAATACCATTAACAATGAAATAACCACCCATTTCATCAGATTCTTCCTTTTGATCGACTAAATCACTTGGTGATAATTTTTCCAAATGACATCTATTTGTCTTCAACATTACAGGAACTTGCCCGGCTTCTCTAATTTCAGAAACCTCTTCACCATCGTTTACACTCCATGTAACTTTTAACATCAATCTAGATCTATACGTGGACATTCTTTCTCTACATTCCGAAGGGTAGGTTCTTCTATTAATTGAAAGTTTATCGTTAACTGGGACAGATGGCTTTGCAAGTTGAACAGATTCAACTCTAATGTTTAACTTGTTACCTAATCTGTCGACATCATTAGAGTCAAATATACTTTTGCTACCAATATCATTAACCGCCAAGTTTAATAAGCCGCCGTCTGGTCCTTCTGTCAATGCATTGAATGATCCAATATGTGGTGAAACCGCATCAGCTAATAATGGATATGCAGATTTATCTTTTGGAGGATTCTGGAAACGCTTTTCACGTTCAAGAGTTCTAAATTGAGCCCCCATGCTACTAATTAATATACCTTTTACCGGTTGATCTTAGTAAAATGATTTTGATGGTAATTCCCAACTTTTTCATGAGATTGTGAAGAGGTCAAACGAAAAAAAAAATTTATGAAGATGAGATCACATGACCATAATATATATTGCATAGATACTACACTTGATATATAGACCCAGACTATAGTAAATTCAAAGATGGCCAAGTCAAGGTTTGAATATGTTAAACAGTTCGAAAGAGAGAACTTTCTATTGCCAGATACTTATTTAATTGTAAGGGTTGATGGTAAAGGGTTTCACAAATTTAGTGAAGAATATGAGTTTTCTAAGCCCAATGATATCAGAGCCTTGAAGGTGATGAATAATGCAGCTAAGAATTTAATGGCACAATTCCCAGATATAATGATGGCATATGGAGATTCTGATGAATATTCGTTTCTTCTACGCAGAAAATGTAGCTTATTTGAAAGGAGAGAAATGAAATTGGTATCAACGTTTGCATCATTTATTTCGGTGAACTACTTGCATGAATGGAACCTTGAATTTCCAGAGAAACAAATAAAATTGGAACGATTACCCACTTTCGATGCCAGAATTGTAGTATATCCTACCATTAAACATATACGGGACTATTTTAGTTGGAGACAGGTGGATTGCCATATAAATAATTTGTATAACACCACATTTTGGACATTGGTGATCAAAGGTGGGATGACAGGGAAGGAGGCAGAAAACAAGTTATTGGGGACGGTTTCAAGCGATAAGAATGAAATGTTATTTAAGGAATTTGGCATTAATTACAATAATGAGTCTGAAATTTTCAAGAAGGGAACAATACTTGTTCGAGAATACGACTATACAAGAGAAGGAGATGATTTGAGCAAGCGACAACAACAAAGAGTTGAAAAACAACGTAAGAAAGCTCTGATAGAAGAATATCATCTTGATATAATTGGTGATACCTTCTGGAACGAAAGGCCATGGTTATTGGAATGAAATAAAAATATTACAAGTAGATAAATTTTTGGATATTAAATGTATATATTCAAAAAGTTCATATAATACAATACAATAAATATATAAATATATAAGTATATTTAGTACTTAATCGATTTTAAAGTGGAATAAAAATGCTGAATTGAAATATAAATTAGTACTAGTAGTAATAATATCTAACAGGAGACCGAAAAACTTTTACCTTTCTGAATGCAAAAACTTCAAATAAATAATTTTTCCGAAGAAAATGTTAATCTTCAACATGTAATTGACATGAAAACCCACAATTTGATTAAATGTTAGTTGAACGTCATGAAGAATGGTTCGATCGGATGAGATTTCAAATATATATGGAATCGCTGTAGGATTGAAGGGTGGACGCAGTTGAAGCGTGTGGAATTGTATTAGTTGAATTGAAATGAGGAGTGCTCGATGAATTTGAAGATGGGGAAGAAGTAGATTTATCGCCATTGTAAAAACAGTAGCTTTGTAATAAATTAGTATAAAATTGGGAATTGAAGTTGGTACTGTCATTTTCTTGGGGCATAGATTGTTTCGACTTGTATGATTTCGAATATTTTGGTTTAACGTTGGAAATATCGGAAGTTGAGTATGACATTTTAAGAGGGGGTCTTGTAGAAACCGCACCAGAAGAATATGATGGCATATTTGAAGGAGGCTCAACGTTGATTGTAGGTGTACTTGAAATAAATGGATTTGACCTTGGTTCGTGAGGATTCGACCTAGGTTCGCTCAAATTGTCATTAATGTTGTATCTGTTGTGAAAGTCCGATTTAGCTTTCGAGGAAAACGGCTTTTTAGAATACACATATTCGTCGTTCTTAATTATATCACCATCCAAAGCACAATCGGTCTTTCTATAGTTGACTAATTTTGTAACCAACTCGTCAAATTGAGAAACGGTGTTCTTAAAGGACGAGTTGTGCAACTTCGTGTTTGAAGTGGTTTCAAATGGTTGTAATGACATGTGATAGTTCTTCATGCTGTTATTGTCCCAGAAGCTGTTTCCGCCAACTTCATACTTGATGACAAATTGCAAGTCGAGTTGCTTTGGCATGTGTTCCAACGGAATGACAAACTTGAACTGGTCAAAGTTAACGGAAGAAAATGACTTGCTGTACGATATGTTATTGATAATGAGAACAGACCGCCAGTCATTGAACGTCAACTTGATCGACAAGCGTTTTTCAAACGCCAAATTCTTCACCATGATCAATCCAACCAACGCCGTCTTCTCGGGCGAGAGCTTGATCGACTGCAAGTAGCATGGCATATCCTGCTTGTCGTATATGTTTCTAGGTGGTCTGAAGTCCAGGTTCGCGATTCTGTACGTCGCAGGTCTCTGGAAATAAAGATCTTCATCGGACGACGTGTCACTGGTAATATCGCTCACCTCATCATCCTCCCACTTGAGATCAAAGTATCCCTTCGAGCTGAAGTCGTCCAACGCCTGCGGCGACGACATGGGTGTGTTTTCCGCTGTTGAAACCGTGCTAGGCGATTGCTGACCATCAAACATTTTCACGTTAGCCAACCGTGTGGCAAACCTTACTGATTTGTTGCCCAACTGTGATGCTGACAAACTTCTAGACAACCCACTCAACTTGAGCGACGATTTGATCAACTCTCCCGACTTTTTGCGGAGCAACCCTGGACGTTCATCTACTCTCCTTTCATCCCCCTTTATGCTATCTTTGACTTCACTACTACCGCTCACCTTGCCGCCCATTTTGATCGTGCTCAAGCTCGATTCCGTGTCACCATCTGAACAAATATCTTCGATCTCGTCTGCTTGCTTCGAGATTAAATTAGTCACCGTCAAGGGACTAACACTGGGTATTTTACTCATCGTGAATCGGCCTGGTGATTCTGAAGCCAATATGCCCTGCTTATTCCAAATATACTTTTTTTGTACCCGGCGTTAAATTTTACTATAAGAATTGCTAAATCCAGATATATATATAAATTACAAAAGGGGGGATCAATTTTTTTTGTTGAGTCTGCAGTCACCTGAGGGTTAAAATCTTTTAATAATGGTCCCTGAAAAAGAAATATTGCACGGTTTTGTACCAAACATTACACATTATGGTACGTCGGACTACACAGTGGGAGTTACAGGTGCATACCATCCCGCATCTACGCCCGAGTTGTTACCAACAACTCCACACAAAGTGGTATGTGGTAGCTGGAGTAGTACTGCTGGAATATGGGGAGATGTGAAGCAAGATGTTATACCAGCAGCACGCTGCTGGTAGGCGTAAGGATAGAGTCGGCGTAGAAAAATTTTCAGTTGCTCGTAGGAGGAAAGTTTTTTTATGCCGAACGCAACCGAAGGATTGCTATTGTGTAGATGTATTGTAGGGATTGTTTTGGGTATGAAAGAAGAAATCGCGACTGGCCGCCTGGAGAATTTCCCTATCGGAAGATATTAGCCCATGGGGAGGTGCAGGTAATGTTCCATAATTGGTGCAGCGGAGAGAACAATAGGAAAAGTGCAGATTTTGAATCACAATTCTTGTGGACGCGATGGGACGAAGTAGATGGAGTAACATGGCCCCAACTCGAGTGCTGAAACGGACGCGGAATCAGTGGTAGAGTTTGAAGTAACAGATAAAATAGCATCAGATACATTAGGGAATACCGGATAGACGGTAAAGACTAGAGGGGATAATACAAAGTCGGATGCGACCGCATCGAAAGATGCACGAACGGAATTGTGGCCGATGTCGCATGTCGTGTGTCATAAATGTCGCGGGTGGAAGCGAGTCGGTGGTTCGGCGAGCACCGTAAATGGCAAGTGTGGTAGTTGAGTGAGGGTGATGGTGGAGAGTGGTGTTTCGGAGAGTGATCAGCTGGCCAGGCCGATATCTTGTTGGGGACATGCGGCTGTGGCAGAAATTCTTTTGACAATATCTGGCTGGTATTTGGTCCTGGGGAAGCGGCTGGTTATCTGATTTTTACTCCGTGGGGAGGGAGTGGCCTGCAGACCGTCTCTACTGTAGCGAATTACTTCTGTGCCGGAAAGATCAAGGCTGGTGTAAATATATATTCAGAAAAACATCCCTACATATTTACTATTAACTACACCTTCGTACATACCACATTAATTATCTATCTATATATCCGGCGCAAGTCGATCAATTCTTCGACGAGTCCTCCTTCAAAGTGACAATACGGTTCAACACCAACTTGTCCGCGCTCGAATCCTTGTCCATGCAGAAGTATCCCACTCTCAAGGCCTGGAATCTCACCGTTTCGACACTCGGTTTCTCTTTGATGTTGAACTCGCTTCCTTCGATAGGAATATTCAATGGTGACTTATCCTTAATTTCGGTGAAAGCCGATTCGACAATCGCATCGCAGTAGATTTCTTCTGAGTGCTCGTTGAGATCATTCAAGAACCCGTCTGGGTGAGCCGATGGGTTCTCGCTATTGAACAATTGGTTCTGAATTCTCACCTCATTGATCTTGATTGGCGAAGAGGCCGTTTTAGGAACCCATTGGATATACGTCTTAGGTTTCTTGAACGTACCGTCGTTGTCATAGTGCACGATGATCTTCGTCACCTTACCCGCGTCATCCTTGACAGCATCCTTGACAGAAACGTTGAATGGTACCTTAATTAACCCAACCGGTTGGCCAGGGGCTAATCTAAAGTAGTCATCGGAAATAGAGTCTCTGTAGTCAGATCTGTCAATATAGAAGCGCTTAGTGAATGGGACCTTTCTGGTTCCGAATTTAACAGTGTCACCTGGTTTGTAAGGCACCTCGACCAATTCCTCGTACCCTTCTGGTAAGTTCTCAACCTCGACTTCGACAGGGTCAAGAATCATCATCAATCTTGGGGTCGTTTGGTCCAAGAATGCTCTGATAGCACTGTCGAGTCTCACTGCTTGAATATTAGTCGTTGAAGTGGTGACCCCTAAAGTGTTGATGAAACTTAAAATTGCTCCCGGTGGAACCCCACGACGACGGATAGCTTCTAAAGTGTACAATCTAGGATCATCCCATCCTCTAACAATACCTTCGTTGACTAATTTAGCAATCTTTCTCTTACTCAATATGGTACCAGTAATATTTAATCTACCATACTCTCTTTGTGCTGGTCTGTAAACATGTAACTCGTCACACAACCATTCGTAAGACTCTCTAGAAAGTCTAAATTCAGTAGTACATAATGAATGACTAATGTTTTCAAAAGAATCAACAAGACAGTGAGTAAAATCGTACGTTGGGTAGATCTTCCATTTGTCCCCAGTTCTATGGTGGGGCTTGTCTAAGACTCTGTACGCTACAAGATCCCACATTTGTGGAGATGGCGATTCCAAGTCCTGCTTCATTCTCAAAGTGGCCTCTCCACTCTTATATCCACCGTTCTTCATCTTACGGAATTCAGCCATATTATCTTCAACGCTTCTTGAACGATGCTTACATGCAAACCTTTCTCCACCTAGGGTACCATCTTCCTTCAACCCTCTTTGAGCCTTAACTTCTTCAGCCGTACAATGGCAAACATAACCCTTACCTAAGCTGATTAATCTCTCCGCCAAATCGTATAACTCATCAAAATAGTCGGATGAATGAGTAACTTTCCATGGTTCATATCCTAACCAGTCGATCATTTTTTCAATTGACTTGAAATAAACTTCTTCTTCTGCTTCAGGGTTGGTGTCATCGAATCTCAAGTAACAGTTACCACCATTGTACTTAGCATATCCAAAGTTAACCATAATTGCCTTAGAATGTCCAATGTGCAAATACCCGTTTGGTTCTGGTGGGAATCTAGTGAATACCTTACGCTTGGTGAATTCTAAATGTTCTTTCATTAATTCAGGATATTTTTGTGGATTTTCACCAGGCTTGTGTAAGTCGCCCAAAAACCCTTCGGAAAACATCGATCTCTCAGCATGTGCTTCCTTCTTGGTTTCAGCTTGCTTTTTAGCCAGCTTCTTCTTTTCCTTCTTAACGACATCCCTCTCGTCCTTTGGTCCAATCATTTCTAAGATCAAGCTGTCAATTATTGGCTTGAATAAGTTTGGCTTGGCCCATTTCAATTCTGGTACCTTCTTCACGTCACCCAATAAGCTAGAAACAATAGAGTATCTCTTAGTCTCAATATCAGACTTATGGGCTTCCATGTACTTTTTAATTTCTCTTTCAACATCGGAATCACTGAGCTCAATACCAACCCCTGACTTCTCTTCCATGGTTTCATTGTTGGCAGTTTCAGGGTTCTCCTTGACATACTTGAATGCTTCGGTGACTTGTAAGTTAGTCTTCAATCTACCATCAATAATAGCCTTCGTAATTAATTTACGGCTAGGAACATCTCCTCCTTTACTCTCAACGGCTAAGGCATGCAACAAAGAAAGTTTTTTTTCATCTGTTTCTTCCACCTTTGACTCGTTGATGATTTCTGCTAATGATTGGGAAACCTTTTTATTTTTACAAACTTCTTTAGATTTCTTATCATTGAACCCAACTTTGCTAAACAAGTTGATCAATTCTTCTTCTGACGCCATGCTTGGAATAGTTGATTTTGTCTCTATATGATGAATTGTTCTTCGAAATGGTTCTTCAAAAAAAATTTTGATAAGGCATGACGGTATACGCGCGACTTTTATGTTTGGAGATACCCTTTGGTTGTAAATATCAGTAACTTCATTGAATTGATATACAACCCTGTAATAATTATCTTTTTAGTTTCTTGTGTGGTTACTATAATAGCGTTACTTTATCTAGGATTTCATTTCATCCGGTAGAACTATTGGCCAATTTAGTGATTCTTGTGGTTTTATATTCGTTTTTGCAGCATATAGATATTCCGATGGTGATGACAATCAATACAATTAAAATAGAGAATTTGGTTTCATCTATAGAAGGAATAAGGAAAATCATACAGAAAAGAAATGGAGTGGTATCTGGAGCGTTCTTCTCCGAATTTATAGAATGTTTACAGGGTTTAGAGCTGAATTTCGTAATACAACTGGTATCAACACTAGAATGTGCAGTAGAAGGTTTATTTGAAGAAGTTTATAAGGCAATTCATCGAAACAATTTTACAGTGACAGATCAGAATTTAATGTACATCTTGGTATTGTTGATTGTTCATAAAACTTCCAAAGCATTCGCTCCTAGAACCATAAAGCATTGGATAATAGTTCATGTATGTATGATTTATTTAAAAAACGCCAGAAAAATACTAATATTATAGGATTTTATGCCTCTAGATGCTAATGAGGATGTTGTGTCGAATTTATTAGAGGATTCGGTAAGTAATACCAATTCTAATTGGTTATCAGCAATGCTCTTGGTGCGAATGTATGCTACAATAGGTGGTAACATAGGAAGCCATTTGATCCCCATAGGTTTTTATAAGAAACTACAAACTATTTTGCACTCTAATAAAGATTTTACAACCACAAACTATTTATTAGAGCTAGCTGGATATCTACCTAAACTGTCGATAAATAAGGAAACTGAACGAAATTCTCTTACCATACGTATAACTCAGAAACCAAGGTTTTTGCTTGACATACCTTCACCTGTTACTACTGGAAGCATAGAAATAATTTATTATTTGAGCAACCTTAATAAAACATTTAGAAATTTGTATCAGTTAAAGTCTGCTAGCTCCAAAAGTAATGATTTAAATAAATCATTCGAGAAAGGTGATATGATTTTTCTTCAAGTCATAGATAAAGTAATGATATTATGGTGCTCGAATGAAGAAAATGTATCACACATGTATATTAATTTGAACAACTTAGAGAAGTTCAATATTGTAAATGACCTGGAAATTAGAATAGAATTGTCGAAAGGGGATGAATTCTGGAATTCACATTCATTAGTATCTTCTAATTCAAAATTACAAAACTTAGCTTTTAGTGTTGAATTGAAGAGAACCCAATTAATGCCTTCATTCGTTAGAATACTCAGTTCCGTTATAACCCATAATTTAAAAAAGATTTCCATCGCTTCTGCGACAATATCTGCTGCATCACAAATCGAGGATCAAGGTTCGCCGAAATACTTATGTGCAGCATTGTCATCAGAAAGTCAGTTAAGTGATATTGATCTTTCCAAGGAAGGATCTAACAGCTTTCCAAATTGCCAAAGGCCAACATTTACAAATCTTCATTGCAGTGAATTAAATCTAAATTGCATAACAACCCAACCAAATTTAGAATTAAATTCTTCTATCAAAGAAAAACTTAGGAATTATAAAACAGAGAAGCATTCCCTTGCAATACCACCACCAAATTTCTTTGGTGAAGATCCACTATCAATTGAGCCCTTGCAATCCGAAGATGATAATATAAAATTTAAAGATTTCTTAGAAAATAACAAACAGAGGATTTCAAGGGCACCTTCGATATATAACACCGAGCCAGCAAACCAAACCACATTACCAACCCCAAACAAAATAATCAAAGATCTTCACAAAGTCTCTAAAAGGTATGGGAAAAAAACTAAGAAACAAAGCCATAAACGAGATATCTGGGATTTCTCGTCGTCTGTTCCCTCCTCTCCTCTGAGAAAACCTAAAATGGTGACGAATTCCATAAGATCAACGAAATCAACAGAACCAGAATATCTTGCTCATTCAATAATTCCAGACTCTCTAGCTTCTCCTACTTTATTAGTTGCAGCGAAAGATGATATTAATAATAATGAAGAAACCCCCAAGAATTATGATGCTCAGAAGGGCCCAAGTCGTCCACTTTTTGCAACCAAATCCAAATCGAAAAAGAAAATTAATATTGAAAGCTCTAATGTTGAAACTACCATACCTACTACACCTACAAAATCTAGAAGAATATCTAATAACTTATACAACGATATATTTGATAATTCCTCTAGGAAACATGGTAACTCAGTTCAGGTAGAAGATTCTTTGTCTAGCGAGATCTTTACCCAGGGAAACTCCATTCGTAATTTTCTCGATAAAATTACTAAACAGGACGAGTGTATTAAATCAAGCATAGATAATGCAGTTGATGACCGAGGGACTCAAGACAGATTGTTGAAAATAAACACACCTATCGTCGGTAATTCAACTACACTTTTGGATAATGATAAGCGAAACGATGGAGCGACTGCTTCCAATGATGAATCGAGATTAACTAGTGAAAAGTCTCTTATTAATATGCAGAAGAATGCCAGTAATGAGAATTCTCTCCTAGGAGATACTACTATGAAAACATCGTTTCTTGAGTATGGGTCCGCTCTTAAAGAACTTGATATTAACAAGCAATATAGTTTGATTTCCGAAGGGATGAATTTATTGTCTTCAAATCTTATAAATAGAATTAAGAGATTCGAAAATGATATATTCAAGAAGCAGAAAGAGTTACACGATGAGCTTGAAGAGAACTTCAAACAAATTGCAACAAATCATTGTGAAAATTTGAAAAATTTTAACTACTACGTCAAAAAAAAAAGTGATGAAATATTTAAGGATTTTCAATGAATATGATGTCTATGATATTATATTATATACGTATAAATATGTTCTAATCCTATGAGCTTTTAAAGCCTATAAATTTGAAAATTTCTTTATTAAAATCTTTTGGATTATCCAAATAAAGATGATGTCCTGAATTAGGTAATATACTGAATTGGGCCAAGTTCTTCCCCATAGCTATGGTGGACAATTTATTGATCTCATTTGTCATTTCCAATCCGGCCTCGTCATTCATCCAATCTTTATCACCATATATCCAAAAAGTTGGAGTATTCATCTTAACAAATTTTTCGGGACATCTGTCTAATAATGGCAACTTTGGCAACGCACCAGTCGCTAAAACCCTAGTAATTGCAAATTCGCCCGAACCTTTAGCGTTGAATACTCTATATATATAATCGTGCATGGCTTGAAATTGCATAGGGTTGGCGAAATACGTATGGGCAAATCTATGGGTAGTCCATCTAGAAATCATCTTAGATTTTAAAGGTCCCATATTACGGATGATGGAAAACGGCGAGTAATTACGTCTCCATAACGCATCAAGCAACCTTCTACCCCTCGATGCCTTTTCGTCAGCAGATTCTAGGTCCTCATTATGAATAATTGATTCCTGGTCAGCGTTAACTTCATCTTCTAATGCTATACTTGGGGCGTTTTGATTTTCCAGTTTTCTACGTTCATCCGATATACCCTCAGACTTTTCGTCCTTCAACAACGAAAATTTATTTCTCTCAAGCCCTACAGGACTAATCAACACCAACTTATCAACCATTCCAGGCTGCAATTTTCCTGCTGCGTCAATCAAGCTCTTGTTATACTTCAACACGTAAGCACAACTTAAGTATCCGCCAAACGAATGGCCCATCAAAATAAACCTATTAATGTTACGTTTCTTTCTCCATTCCTCAACCGCATCAATAAACCAATCTTCAATCTTGAATATGTCGGATTTTGTCTTTGATGGGAAGTTTGGAAACTTGGGCCTCGACGAAAACCCAAACCCTAAAAGATCAATAGCATGTATCTTGATGCCCGGTGCCGATGATAACAAGTCAAAATTATCGATAAATAACCCCAAAGAAGCAGCATACCCGTGTATCAATACAACATCGGTTACCTGATCCTTATTCTCCACTGTTTGTGTGCTTGGCTTTTCTGTATTCTCAATATAAAATTCATGGATGTAGTTTCCGCCACCGATGTCTGTATTGATAATCTCCGCCTTCCTTTTCCCATCTGATTCAGGATAAAACGGCAAACTCAGAAGCAAATTATATTCCACTTGCTCGTCAGTGTAATTTTTCTGTAATCCCTGTTTGTACCAATCCCTAGCTGACTCTTTCCACGTATAAACTGGTAAGACCCTTCCATCCTGGAATTCGTTTTTTTTGTTCCTTCTACTATTCCATGCGTTCGGTTTTTCTGGAGCTCCCTCCGTCTTAGTTTCAACTTGCGTAGAACTCATTTCCGTACTATCACCACCTATTTACTACCTATTATCGCCCTTTACTGTGAATGAATCACTTGTGCCTTTTTATAGTCATATCGCTTGTTTAATTTCTCATCTGATCTAAATCCGTTAACCCCGTCGGTAATATCCGGATTAGGTCGAGATAAAAAAGAATTCTCTACATATGCCCTACATTGTCCGAGGAGCCACGATACTCAAGGCTTCCTGCGCCAAAAAGTAGACCTTCCTTCCCCATGCACACCTACCATGCTTATCGCACCATCATTTCTCATCACAGAACCTACTTCCTTCCGCCTCCTTTTTTACCATCCGCAATCTCATAGATAAAAGAAGCTCCCAATCGCACCGCAGTCTATTTTTCCCTAGTGCGATGACGGCTTATATTTTTTACGACCCCCAACCTGTAATCTGGTTAACATGCAAACCGTGGTTGCAAATTGCAATTATTGCAATAATTGCATGTTAGTGTCTTTGTGATCCCTCACTTGAACATGATTCTTCCCCTCTCTTTTAGATCTAAAGCAGCTTGAGCTGTCGCACGACCATGTAACTTTTGGTCCACGACTTTAAAAAGATACCACAAAAGGGGACGTCGTGGGCCCACCAAACAACCTCCAAAGCACCTTCAATCACTCAGAGCTCAATTTTTTCTGAAAAATCTCTGGTGAAAAGTGAACGTAGAAGAGTTTTGTAAAATTGTAATTAACTACATATATCTTATTAGTATACAAAATGGTATGTACGAACAGCGTAGCGTATAGTGTGACAAATCCACTCGTTACAAGTACTATGAAGGCCTGGATACTTTTCGAATGGATGGTGGGCACCGCAAACCCAACTGGACACATTACTAACAAAGTTTTTTAGGACACTAAAACTCCAGTTACTTTAGCTAAAGTTATCAAGGTCTTGGGTAGAACCGGTTCCAGAGGTGGTGTCACCCAAGTCAGAGTTGAATTCTTAGAAGATGCCTCCAGAACTATTGTCAGAAACGTCAAGGGTCCAGTCAGAGAAAACGACATCTTATGCTTAATGGAATCCGAACGTGAAGCCAGAAGATTACGTTAAGAAGCTTTATTATCCTACACCTTTATATTGAATTATAATCATTTACTATGAACAAATCGGTTGATATTTATTTACATATATATTGGGGTTCCAAAATTTTATTTGTCATATTTTGCTTGCTTACGTTTACCACTTCATCCTCCATGTTTTAATACATACAAATTATAAGGTTTGATCTTTACCAGAGCACTAGCTTGTTAGTACCTGGGGTGTAGTTTCGACAGTAGTGAAATGTAGTATATATTGTCTGTCACACTGTCACGACATAGTCACGCCATTTTTCGCGGTTCCAACCCTAACTTTGGGACTTTGTGTAACATCACCGGTTTTTTCATTTCGTCTCCAGTTTGGTGCGCTAATAGTGAAATTTTTCAGTATTATTGTATCAACTTATATACTTGTTTTACACTAGATATTAATATATACAAGATGGCTCAACGTGTTACCTACAGAAGAAGAAACCCATACAACACTAGTTCTAACAAAATCAAGGTCGTTAAGACCCCAGGTGGAAAATTAGTTGCTCAACATGTCAAGAAGCTTGCTTCCAGACCAAAGTGTGGTGACTGTGGTGATGCTTTACAAGGTATCTCTACATTAAGACCAAGAGAATACGCTCAAGTTTCCAAGACTCACAAGACCGTTCAAAGAGCTTACGGTGGTTCTAGATGTGCCAACTGTGTCAAGGAAAGAATTGTCAGAGCTTTCTTGATTGAAGAACAAAAGATTGTTAAGAGAGTCTTAAAGGAACAACAAGAAAAGGAACAAAAGGCTTCTAAGAAGACCGGTAAGAAATAAATCAATTAAGATTTAGCGATTATGCCGGAAATGTTACTTCACTTGTATTTTTAATTTTATGAGACAACCTACATATTTTTATTGTATTTGATGAGGATTTAAATTGGGCTTATCTTTTTTACATCACATCTTCTAACAGGAGGAGAACAACAAAATGAGAAAAAAAATATATATGGTAGTTTGTCATAGACGAATTTATCATGTCATTAATCATGTATTTATATATATATGCTACTTGCATTAGATATTAATTTCTAAATATTAATAAACTATTACCTTTAGTCGAATATCATACTGATGTAGATATTGTATCAATTTTGAAAGAATTGCTTGAATGCTTCCTTTGTCGTTTTCTCTTTGTTCTTGGTCCTTTCCTTTGACCAATAACTTTGTACTTTGCCGAAGAAAATTAGATGTTTGACATCATTGAATTTGGGTTCCTTCAAAATCTCATGATACAAATCTAATGCTTTCATATCTAGTCTCGCTCGGATAAATGGCTTTAGCTTCTCTGGTAATCTCTTATAAGGAGGATGCTTCAAATGTTTGTAATTAACTTCTACATTCTGTGTAGACCAGATGTACTTGATTGAATACAATGATTCACAATCATACTGTTTTAGTGGATGACTTAGATGTCTTGATCTATTCTTTTCTGGGACTTTATTCTCCTTGCAACTTTTCCTCGATTGTTGAGAACAGGAATACTTGATCGAAAATACCTTTAGACCTCTACCCTTGGAAGGTACTTCTTTCCTGACCCATCTATATCCAGTAATATCGAGCAAAGGTTCAACGTATTTTTCATGTATTTTAGCTATAACATCTTGTCGTATCGCTTTTTCTCCCTTTTCTGTCAAATCAGTTGGTGTGGGAACCTTGGGTAAATCTCTATCAACAAATGAAATTTTAATTATTTGGGTCGAGTATTTGTAATTCTGTGACAAAACATTAATAAGATCTTTACAGCTATTAATATCTGAATTCTCCGAATTGATTACGACAAACGGGTCATCCACCTCATTGTATTCGGTTTGTGAGTTGCGTACTTGATCACTGCATAGACCAGGTGATGGTGTACTATCATTAGAACTAAACGATGAAATCGATGTTGCAGTTGATCTTCTTGAAGAAATTGGACTTCTCTCTGAATCGCTTTCTTCATCTGATACATGGTATTCTTCTATTTTAGCTCTCTTATGTGGGCTTTCTGGTGGATTGTCCAATCCTCTCTTACATTGTGGTTTGATATAAGGAACTACGGTTTGAGGTTCCGCGTCGTTGAGTAAGGAATTAATGTCCATCACCTCAAATTGGCATTGTATCTTGAAAGATGTCGAGCAGGTAGCGTTTAACGATCCTCCGTATTTCAAAAGGGTAGTCTAATTGTTTCAGGACCTTCATTGGTCATAAGATAGTACCAAAATTACACCACTTACTCGCACTTTGGAGAATGAAGGAATTTTGCAATCACTAGTATTTTTAACATACCATATACTAGTACATCATATTTGTAGAGACTAATGTCCTAAGTCCAAAAATACTAGGATTTATTATCCCCTGAGATAAATGGCAGATCAGGTTAGTTTAAAGGCGAAATATAAAAAACTTTCTTAATATTTCTCGAATCATTGCAATCAATGACGAATGCTAGCCGATTATTTCTTACGGATTTGTTCATTATATAGACATATATATCAAGTGAATAGAAAATTAATATGCATGGATATCTTGGTTACGAAATACGATACGATTATCATTGCTTTGGCAGTTCCAATTGCAGGTAATTGAATATATTACTTTGAGGCAAAATCATATATATTTCACATTCTTTTATCTTGTTATAAAAGAATATGGTTCATGGAAGAATTAATAAGTGCAAATATGGCCATGAATTTGAAGACATTATCCAAGGCTCAATTGCATTGTGCTCATCCGTGCTTGACTAGTTCAAGGAACTCATTGAAAAATCTGGTTACAAGCAAACAATCTACATATGCGACATTTACGACATTATAGTGAATTATGTCGTAATACGAATTACGTTCAATTAATTATTATGAACTACAGAATTATAAGATTAACTAAATACATCAATCAGTTAATAGAGAACGATGTCTGATTTAGATGATGATTTATTGGCATTAGCCGGTGCAGGGGATTCAGAATCCGAAATGGAAGCTGACATTCCTCTGAAACGTCAAAGTAAGTCTAGTGACAGCTCTGGGTCATCAAAGAAAAGACGAGTTGACACGAGCGATCTAGAATTTGATGATCAGGGTGAAGATGATGAAGAAGCTGAGGACGAAGATGATGATGAAGAAGAAGAAGACTTGGTGAATCCCTATCCCCTTGAAGGTAAATATAAGGATGAGGAAGATCGAGAAAACTTATTGTCGATGGATGAAATTAAGAGAGAACAAACATTATTCGAAAGAACCCAGGAAATGGAAAGTTATAATGAAAAGAAGTACTTGCAGCAAAGAATGAAGCAGCAACAACAAGGTGCTAGTGATGCAAAGGCTACAAGATCTAGTAAAAGAACTAAAGTCCCAGGAAAAAGTTCAAAACTCGATAAATTAAGTGAATTGAGGAAGCAAAGAGAACAAAAATCACGCAAAGAAAATAGAAGAGATTATGATGATTATTCAGACGAAGGAGAAGAAGAGGATGAAGAGGACGATGAACGAGGTTTTATTGAGGATGATGAAGACGAATACGGGTATGGCGAAGATGAGGTTGTCTGGGGCTCTGGAACTAGCTCCAAATTTAAGAAGAGAAGTACCGAGCGTGCCAAGTTGGAGGATGTAAATAGGACTAGAGTTGGACGATCTATTTTGCTTAAACACTGTTTCTACAGTGACTTTTCTGATACTATTATCGATTGTTTTGCCAGAATTAATATTGGGATGGACAAGAGAACAAAACAACCAATGTATAGAATGGTTCAAATAAGTGATGTTAAGAACATCCCTGAAAAGGCGTATAGTACTCCAAACTTTAAATGTGACATATATTTAACAGTGAATCAAAATAAGGAACAAAGGAAAGATTTCCCAATGAGCATTTTTTCTGACTCCCCAATATTACCTGAAGAATTTGACAGATATTTACATGAATTGAGTAAGACCGGAGAAGATATATCTTACTTAGATGATGTAAATGAAAAATACGAAAGTTTGCAATACTTATTGAATAGAGGAGTGTCAGATAAAGATGTTAATGAGATGATTGCTAAAAAGCAAAAGTTGCAGTCCAATATTCAAGGTTACGATGCGGTTTTCCAGAAAACTAGGGTGATGGATCAATTGAAGATTGCCAAACAAGAAAACAACCTAAGTAAAGTTAAAGAGTTGAGTGATAAATTACATAAATTGGACCAAGTATTAATTTCCCAAAATCAGTCGCAAAATAATTCAGACTCGTTCAACTCGATGTCTAAGGTTAATGAAAGAAACAGAAAATTGAATTTGTTAAATATCGATAGGGTTGAGTCGAAGTCGTCCCAACAAAGAAAGTTAGCAGAGTTTGATGGGGGTGATCCGTTTTCAAGATTGAAGACGAGAACTAAAGTGTTCTACCAAGACTTAATCAACCAAGAAAATGAAAAGGCAATTGATGATGCCAAGATGAACTATGAAACATTAGTGGCTGAAAAGTCTGAAAAAGAAGCAAAAATTGCTCGCTCAAGCTATAGGTGCCTAGGAGTGATGGATAGTTTGATTAAGGAGATTGATCTCGATTTGGAAATCAACATTTGATAAGCGCAAAATATGTCTGCGTATGATCTATGCGTTAGACATTGTATTAGTATATAAAATACAGAATAATCTATAGTAATCTACTTAAGCTTTACGACATCGTAATTTTCCGGGTGTGAACGGCACCGAAGGTTACATTTACTGGCTGTTCAGATTAGAAATAAGTCACTGCACCGTGAGTTCGATGACCATACTGCACCTACATGTATAATTTAATAAACCCCAATTACTATATTTACACAGAATAAAAATATATACAATAACAATGCCAAATACATAAAAACTACATCGTGATTCATCACAAGTACCATCTTCTGGAACTATATTCTAAAATGCCATCCTTAAATTTCCAATTCTTCCCTGAATTGTAATCTCAATTCATACCTTTCCCTTTCCTTGTCGTAATCAAGCGCAGATCCATCAATTTCCTCATATTCATATGGCAAATTAGAGTAGTACGAATGAATTGAATTGCTTGAACTGCTCGAACTGAATGACTCGTAGTCCGCGTCGTTGACAACAGATGTCCCAGCAAAATTCTTCGACTTGGTGGACTTATCCAAAAGATATGCGTCATCAAGCCCACTGATCATACTATCCACGTCCCCTAACGAGTCAGTCGACACTCCTATTGTTCGGTCGTAGTTATAATTGTTAATATCACTCATCTCATCGTCGCTGTCTTCAGCATTATCCGACTGTTTGTCCGTGTCTCTTGCGGCAATTGCATCGGCTTCCGCTACCTCCGGCCGATGTCTATACCTCAATACAGACCCTAATTTCGCCAACAACGTCTTCTTTTTCGACGTCTCCAGAAACGAACTGTCCGACGATCCCCAACTCGTCTGCTTACACATTTCCAGCCCCAGCATCCCCGATGAACTGGGCCTTTTCTTCATGTGAAATATCGATTTCGGCTTTATTAACTCAGGTGTATAGTTAACCTCGCACGGTAAATCGAATGTAATCGTGTTATCTATCACGTTGATATAATGATATTGTTCCAACACCTCATCGTACTGAAGCTTCCATGGATTATTTAAATTTTCACTCTTCATCATGTTACTAGTATTATAGTCTTACGCACTGTAAAAAATATCGCTCTCGCTGCCACAATGCTTAGGCAAGTTATGTCTAAATGTGTCTTACAATGTTCAATATCGTAAAACCACTGAAAGAGCTGTCTAGATATTTGAGAACGGCTCTTTATATATACTTTAGACAAATTATCGTATTCATGTACGATTAGAAATCATAACATAGGTTTTGCAAGTAATATTGAATCCTATTTATAATCCAATCTTATTTACTTTGCAATTTGCAGCTGGATTAGAAATAATGGGCTTTAAAGCCGTCGGAAACTATTTATCTCCGTTATCCGTCGTAGTTAAACGGGATGAAAGCGTCGCCTTTGTACCCGAGCGATTATTAAGCGCCATAAAGTCTTCATTGGGGATGTTCCGATTATGACGAATGGGGATATCTCCGAGCAGAACGGCCGTGCGAAAATCAGCGATGACTATAATGGTTTAGCACCTGTGCGACATTATGGATAACACGACATTTGTTTCAGGTCTCAGGCCGCTCGCCGGTGTATCGATGTAGGAAACCGCCATATTCGGGTGTATTGGTTTTTTGGGTAATATTGTGAGCGTGTGACCACCGAAATAATGTTTTGAGCCGCGCACGTCCGTACCTATATAGGTAGATTTGATATCAGATCACACCCATTCACTTTGAAAACAGTAGGGGATTATAGTTACAATGGTTTCTCAAGAATTTACTGATAAAGTATGTATAAATGCGTATATTAGAAGAGTCGAACCTGGTTTCCACCAGAATTGAGATCGAGATGACGAGGTGTGGACGAGTTAGTGGAATCAATCTGCCAGATGTTCGCTTTTTGGGGCAACGTAGCACTAACTGGGGAGAGAGATATGTGGGTCAGGATGAGCTATTTTAATCAAACGGGGCACAATTGGTCGTCGGAGATAGCATGTATAATATTTGGGGATTTACTAACTATAATAGGCTGATGCGGTCCAAAAGTTGACCAAGCGTCCTTCCGACGACGAATTGTTGGACTTGTACGGATTGTACAAGCAAGCCACCGTTGGTGATAATGACACCGCTGAACCAGGTATGTTCAACTTGAAGGGCAAGTACAAGTGGAAAGCATGGGACCAATTAAAGGGTACTTCCCAAGAAGATGCCGAACAGCAATACATCAAGTTTGCTGACGAATTATTGGCTAAGTACCAATAGATTTAAGTTTACAGGTTTTGATCTATATTTATAGTTGCCATATGTATTCTATATATTCTTTTTAGTTGGAGGAATGTGAGTCGTTATGGACTTGTTTATTCTGATTGAATAATCCACTAACATCACAAGGGGGATCACTAAGTATGGAATATATAACGCAGCTAGTTTATACGACTCACCTGTGGTCAAGCCGAATCTCTCGTAGTCGCAGAAGATATGTACCAAGCATACTAATGTTGTAAATGATGCATTGAATCCGTAGATCAACATGCATGGATACACTTGTTTCATCTGCTTCACGAGCATATAAGCCCCAATTGCAAAGAATGGCAATTGTACAAATAATTCAAAAAGGCCAAAAACCTTTAACCAAAGTGGCAAGCTAACAAGTAGAAAGTCCTTGTTGCTAGAAATATGGAACTCCAAGAATTGTTTTTGAAATTGAAATCTTTGTTCCTCTGGAATTATAATACATGAGTCGATAATCAAAGTAATGGGAATATGCATCAAGAGATAAACAATGTAGAACTTATCGATTCCACATATTGTCTTTGTAGATTGGTTAGCACCTGCCATTCTATGATAGGATACTTATCTTATGGAGAATTCTAAATGGTATATTTTTCATTTTAAAATCTCACATTTGATTCATCGCGTTCAAAATTAACCATCATAATATATGATATGATTAGGTATATCGCCAGACCCACATATCCAAAGTTAGTTTCACGTATCATGTCTACTCAGAATCTCTCGCAGAATGCTCCAAACAAGAAGATAAAATTATCTGTTGAAAGCGAAGATAAAATAAGTGGGACAACCTCAAAAGTCACTTCTACTGCTACAGTTGAAACTGATTCTAAACAACTCAAGAATGATATCAGTCCTAAAATAGACTTACAGTCTATGATGCAGAATATAGTCAATTCGAAAAAACCTATATGGAAGCCGCTTGTTTGGATAGATTGTGAGATGACTGGTTTGGATGTTTTTCAGGACCATATTATTGAAATTTGCTGCATTATAACTGATGGGAACTTAGAAATAATAGATGAAAAAGGATTTGAATCTACAGTCTATCAGCCAAAGGAAGTCTTGGATGGAATGAATGAATGGTGTGTCAATCAGCACGGAAAATCGGGTTTAACCGCTAAAATTCTTGAGAACCCTCAATGTGAATTATCTAAAATTGAAGATGAGTTGTTGGAATACATAAAGCAATACGTGCAACCAAATAAAGGTATTATGGCAGGTAATTCTATACATATGGATAAATTCTTCATGATGAGAGAATTCCCAAAGATTATTGACTATTTGCATTACAGATTAATTGATGTCTCATCGATAATGGAGGTTGGTTACAGACATAATCCAGAATTGATGAAGTTATTTCCAAAGAAACAAGGCAATCATACTGCTAGATCTGATATTTTGGAAAGCATTAATCAATTGAAATGGTACAAACAAAACTACCTTAAAGGTGAACCTGAAACTAAAGAATTAATAGAAAAGAATAGAATATTAGAAAACGAAACTAATTCCAATGAAGAGTAGAGTCATTCTGTTAGATAGATGATATGTTAGGATATAATTAGTTATCTGGCTATTACAACTCATAGAAATTACGCAATGAAAATATTAATTAATATCGTATAACATAAATAGTTACGTACATTATTTCTTCAAGTCGGCTTCTGTGTCTGATTCAATAGCTTCATCATCAAGTACAGCTGAATTATAACAAAACTTATTCAAACAATTTCTAAGACTCTCTATATCTATTGGTTTCTCAAGAACGTCATCGAAAGCTTGTGATTGAGTCGCCTCTTTCGAAAATCCTGTGATTGCGATTATTGGAGTATTAGAATTTATTCCACTGGTATATTTAATTAGTTTGACAGCATCTGGAGCTTCAACCTTAGACGATTTCAAAGCTGTAAATATTAAGTCAAATTTCACTTGGCTTGTAGCACGACGAATTAACTCGTCGCCATCAGATACGGATACGACTATACAGCCTAATGTATCCATCAACTTGGATATGGTATGACGCACAATCGGAATTGGTTCACAATATAGCACATCTAGTTCATGTAACTTAGGACGAAGTAACTCTTCGCTGTGTTTACTTCCAAGTCTTGAAAAGGAGCCTTCACTACTCCCTTGTCTTCGTACACTCTCACGTCTCTTCCTCACTCTTAATAATGCCAGTGATATTGAATCTTCATTATCCGAACTCGAGGGTGAAAAATCATTAGTAGGAGGCTTAAACACTTGTCTTGACAACGAGTGCATCGATGATCTATGATTATTACCTTTAACACTATCTGACCCGGGCGACCCCTTACCCATTTCAAATGGATATTCATCACCAGATGAATACGTACTCACGGCAGATCCCACTCTTTCTTGTTTGTAAATAGCAGATTGTGGAGATGACTCGCTTTCTTTCTCATATTTATTAGGAGATGATGATCTATGATTTAAATAGTTTATAGGAGAAACTGGTCTCTTGAATGGATTTCCAGGACTATTATTATTACTCGTTCCACTGAATGACAATCCTCTTGGCCTGGAGTTTGTAGTAGACTCTGATGATGATGATGAAAAACTATTCCTATGTTCTAGATGTTCATTTTTCAACCTATTAATAACATCTTTATTAGCCTTTTCCAACACATGTAGATTACGAAAATGAAATGATCCAAATTCACTAGGATCAGCCAACCTACTACCCCGTCTTTCTCTTTTCCCATTCCCCGTAGTACTATTACTGGATCCGTTACCATAGCTATTGCTATTGTTGCTATTAGTATTGCTTCCAGTTCCGCTACCACCAGCATTTTTAAAGTCCTCAATATTAGAATTAAATACATCCCCACTATTTGATTTGCAATCTAATGAAGGGGATCCAAATTCAGTAGTATTGCTAGACGCCGCGTTAGTCATTTGCTTACTTTCTTCATCCGAATCTTCTTTAGGAAAGTGTGATATATCAGCCCCTCTATTATCAAAGTAGTCGGTGGATTCTGGATCGTCCAGACTGGGAATGAATGATGGAACTTCTTCAAATAACGTAAACCAGTTAATTTCCTTGAAATAAGGGTGTCTTTTAATTTCATCTGCTCCATTGTATCCTAATCTTTCTTCAGGTTTTAAAGTTAATAATTTTTTGATTAAATCTTTTGCTGTTGCTGGACATATTTCTAACTCTTCTTCTTCAGATAATGGCGGCCAATCTATTTCGCAATTCAAAATATTTTTGAAGACTTTGTCTGGAGTATCAGCATGGAAGGGAGGATATCCAAATACGAATTCAAATAATATACATCCAAGAGACCACCAGTCGGAAGATTCACTTTGTCTTTCACCTGCAATAGTTTCCGGTGCTAAATAATCTGGAGTACCAACAAAATTTTTCATCTCGGAAGAGTCTTCATTTTCAGGATCAAATAATGCATATGAATTAATTGCATCCTGGTTCTGTAATGAAATCGTTGGATAATCATCCTCTGTAATTGAAAATGACGATTCTGATGCTGTTCTTGCTAGTACTGGTTTCAATAATGGTGATTCTAGCGAACCCGAGCCTGTTCTTCCAGAACTCTTGACACTACCGGAAAAATTTTGTCTATTATTTCCTTGCTTCTGCTGTGGCATTTGAAGAGGGCTTGGTTGCGATTGTTGACTTAAAGGTTGTCCAAATGTTTCACTAAAAGGGACAAGTGGGGACATCAACTGCGAGCCAGCAGCTGAAGCCGGTGTCAATTTTGCATGATCGAAACTTGGAGATAACGAGAATAAAGTATCAGAAGTGTTCCTCCTATGTACACTAGTTTCGGATGATGGTGAATCATTTGCGCTGGTTAATCCCAACCCAGACACATTCGCAAATGCGCTTTGGTTTGCTTGGTTAAGGCTTCTTCGGAATATATCAATTGCTTGTTCAGAAGTACTACTCTTTCTTTGTGCTCTAGTCTGCCTACCCACAACACCCAATCTGGATAAACCGAAATCTGTCAATTTCAAATGCCCTTTGCTATCGATCACTAAATTATCCGGCTTTAAATCCCTATGAATTATACCTCTTTTGTGCAAATCATCAACTCCCACTACTACCTCAGCTACATATCTTTTAGCCCATTCATTTCCCAAAGTACCTAAAACCTTTAGCAATGTCGCACAGTCACCACCATTCAAATATTCCATAACCAAATAAAGATAATCTCTAGTCTGGAAACTGCTGTATAATTGCGCAACGTATGGTGAATCCGTTTGTCTCATCATAACAGCTCTTTCGGATTTGACATTCAATATTTGATTTTTGGCAACCATATCTCGCTTCTTTAAACATTTAATAGCTACATAATCTCCCGTCAATTTCCTTTTAGCTAAGAAGACAGATCCAAAAGCACCTTTACTAATAGCTTTTAACACCTCATAATCTCTAATATCGCCGGATGATGGTTTACTTGTGGGCGTCAGAGAAACTAACAAAGGAGATAAAGGTGGTTTGTTCGTTGAATTCTTAGTCGAGTTAAAATTTAAATTCAATGAAATATTATGATTGTGCCAGCCACCGGCACCTGCTCTCTTTTCATATATATGATTGCCTTTGTCATTATGTTGAATCTCAGAGTGAGCAAATGATGGGGACGATAATGGAGTGTTAGTTTCAAATCTCGAATTCGTGTTTCTTTGAAAGGAAGATAAGTTTTGTTTTTCAATATATGGAACAGGTGATAAATGCCGCCTTGGTGAAGAATATGACGAATTATTTGACAATCCTTCTGACGATTTTTTACTCAAATCTAAATCATTTAATGATTCAGCTAAGTTATTATCCTTAGATTGATTTCTGGAGTGACTTCTCGAATTAGCAGAAAGCGATGATGTAGATAATGAATTCGTCAGCAAACCACTCGAAGCTCTACCTCTGAGTAATATATCCCTTGGTGTTATAGACTGGTTCGACTTAGAATCATCTTTTACATACAGTTCCGTGAATAGCTTAGATTGGGGACTTCTTGTCCGTGAAGGTTGAGGAGATTGAATTGAAAGATTGGTAGAATTATTTGTGGAAAGTTTGGGAACCTCTAATTCTACTCTTGAAGCTTCTTGATCATTTTCATTCGAGAAAACTGCTGTAGAATCATTGTCATCATACGAATAAACAGAATCTTGGTTTTGGTTTTGTTCATTCATCATTGTCTGTTCTTTTATCTTTGCGACCGTTTCCCTCACAGTTTGCAAAACTAATTCATCAACTTCATTCTTAATCTTCTCCGAATATTGTAAAATTGATAATAATCTTGATAGCGTATCAATCTTATCATTCACAAGGTTTTGCGTATCCTCTATAAGAGTTCGAATAGACAAATCTGATGTTTCATATGCCTTCCAATTAAGAACAAAATTAATAGCTCGTTCGGAATTAGGACTGAATTGAAAGCTTCCAACTTCATTGGTATCAGCTGGATTTATTTGGAGAGCTTCATCACAGAACTCGACTAATCTTTGAAAGACCCCAAACGGAAATTTCATAGTCTGAAGTGATTGAAGAGCAGAAGCATTTTTAACCAACACTTGATTCGATAACCTTGGAGATTCCATTGGACTTATCTTTGGTAATGGGAGGCCTTTGTAGTCTAATATCATACTACTTGAAGAATTCATCAGGTTTATAGAACTTGACGACGAAGACGGCGGTGATGACGAAGGCGATACAGAAGCCGAATTATTAGAGTTTTGGGATATCTGAGACTGCTGTATCCAGATATTTTCAGAAAGTTTAAGGATCAAATCCTTCTGGTTTGAAATGGCATCATGACACGTTTGTAAATCTTCGCTAACTCTGTGTTCAACTATACAAAGGTCACTATGCTTTTCAATAAACCAAGCTGGTATATTCTGTTCGCAAATTCGACAAAGAATAGTCTTAGGTTGCGGGACTGAATCCTCATCAATAATTCCTAACTCTTTTAGGCTTACAAGATACCCTTCAAAAATTTCTGATCCGAACCCTAACAAACTGATCAATTGTTCAGGTAATGTCAAATCAAGATCAATATGAATAAATGGTTTGATTGTCCATATAGAATGCGTAGGTAATTTGGTCTTTGAATCATGAATTAATATACCTTGAGCTTCCAATTCAATTATGTTTCCATTGTTAGATAATTTTGAGCTAGTACTACTTGATGAATCGCTCTCCAATTTATCATTATATTTTTGGGTAGGTTCATATTGCAAATCTTGAATGGGTATGTCCTTAGTTAAATCCTCTAACGAATTGTGTGGCGTTATTTTTCCGCTAGAATGTGATTCAGCGAAAGTTGAGGAATATTTATCGTCCGTAGCTGTAACAAATTTCACTTTATAGCTACCATCATCTCTTATCATCAGTTCAATCGAGTTATTGAACACTTTCGAGTCATCATCATTACCAACAATAATATTTGAAATTGGTTTATTTACAATTTTTTTAATCTTCGTCCCCACAATAGTCTCCCAATTTTGACTTAAATACCGTATATTTCCATCTAAGTCTAATT